TGGCCTTGAACAGCTTTTTTGACCTCAACTCAGCACTTGGTTCCAGTCACAACACTCTTGTTTCTGGTCCTTCTGCAGACCTGCTTCAGTCCTCACCGGAGCATCTGGCCCTCCCCAGACCTCTTCTTGGCTAGCTTCTCACCACCTGCACCAGCTCATCACAATCCTCACTTCCTCGGGGGTCTTCCCTCACCCCCTACTCCTTATCACAATCTCCTGCCTTACTTTCTTCCTAGCACCAATCACTAGCTCCAATTATCTTGTCCATTTATTTGATCAATGACTTCTAGCAGCCTGCTCCTCTTGAAGGTAATCTCCATGCCATGCCAACAGGAACCTGGGATAGGTCTCTTCTTGCTCTGCAGTTCTCTCAGTCCAGTCCAGTGCTCAGCTGAATATGAAGCCACTATTTGAATATGAATTCAACATAAACAATAATTGCTCATGTTCTCCATTCACTAAACAAACATGAGGGGGCTTCAAAATTTTCATAGGAAAATGGAATTAAAAAAATTTATGGACTGTTTCTATGAACTTTTTGAAGGTCCCTTGTATTATCAGAGCACCTGCTATGTACAAGGTCCTGTGCACAAAGTTGAGCACAAAAGATAAACCTCCAACTCTTCAAGCTCCCCTGGGCTAGTGGCAGGTACAGGCAAGTCAGCAGTCTCATGACAGGCAGGGTGGGGTTTGACAGGCGCTGCTATTGCAGATCTGGAAGTGGCTGTTCATGAAGGCCTTCTGCAGGAAACAAGAGTTGCAACTTGAGGCTAAAGCAGAGTTGGCTAAAGGGAAGGAGGGGAGAGGGCTCTAGGCAGAATGTGCAGAGGCCCCGTGGGAAGAAAGCCCAGACATTAAAGAAACTGAAAGTAGTTCCGCCCGGCTAGATCCTAGCAGCAAATGGTGTGGGATGATGCTTGAAAGCAAAGGCAGAGGCATCTGGTGCTGGACCTTGTACATTGATCTAAGGAGGTGAAGAACAATGGGGAGCCATGGTAGAGGGGAGACGGTAGGGGAGCAGCAGCGTCTGATTGTAAACACAAGAAAACTCACTGTAGCTCAAGTATGGAAAGTGTGTCAAAGTCAGGGAAAGAGTGAAGAGGCCATACTGAGAAATGTAGGTATGAAGAGAAATGGGCAGGTTCAAGAAGGGTTTGGAAGGATCAATAAGATTTAGTAATGGATTAGTGGTTGGAGATGAAAGCTGTTGAGGATAATACGTTTGGGACTTAAGCCAGCACTGGGTAGTGCTACTTACCAAACAGGGAAACTCAGGTTTGGGGGTAAGCAACAAAGTTCTAAGTGGGACAGGTTGATTTCAGGAGATAGCCAGGTACTCAAGTCAGCACTAGATCAGTCTGTGGTGTCTCTCAAGGGCGAAAGCCCTGTCTCCTTTACCTTCATGTTCCCAAACCCAGTGGAACCTGGTGCACCGAGGGGTAGCCAAAATTTCCTGAATAAAACAGTGAACAGAAGCACTCTTTCTAATGAATTGAAAACAGGTTTCAGGTAAACCCACAGGTCAGAGAAAAATTGGGAGTCTGGCTGTCTCCATCACATAGGCTAGGTCATATGATTCTCCGGAACAGCCTTCAGTATGGGTTGCACAATGTGAAGAAAACAAAAATCCTCACCACTGGACCAATACATACGTCACCCAATTCATGGTACTTTCTTACGGTACCAGGAAGGAGGTGAACTGGAGATACTGGTGAACAGAGGGACACACTGAAATGGGTGTATGGTAGAGAGGTTGTGGCCATACACTGAGTTGAATGTTCTGGGGTGGCAGGGTGGCTACAAGACCCCAGTACCTCTGCCCAACTCCCTGTTGTTGTTGTTGTCAGGTGCCATCGAGTCGGAACAGACTCATAGCGACCCCATGCACAGCAGAATGAACAATGTCCGATCCTGGGCTAACCTCATTACTGCTGCCACACTTGACGCCATCAATGATGCCACCTGGCTGATCCATCTCGTTGGGGGTCTTCCTCTTTTTCTCTGACGCTCCATCTTACCCAGCATGACATCCTTCTCCAGCGATTGTTCCCTCCTGACAATATGTCCAGAGTGTGAGAGATGAAGCTTAGCCATCCTGGCCTCCAAGGAGCATTCTGGCTGCACTTCTTCCAAAACAGATCTATTGGTTCTTTTGGCAGTCCATGGCACTTTCAGTATTCTCCTCCAACACCACAACTCAAAGACATCAATTCTTCTATGATCTTCCTTATTCACTGTCCAGCTTTCGCATCCATATGAGGTTATTGAAAATACCATGGCCTGGGTCAGGCGCACCTTAGTCCTCAAGCTGACATCTCTGCTCTTCAACACTTTAAAAAGTTCCTGTGCAGCAGATTTGCCCAATGCAATACGTTGTCTGATCTCTTGATAGCTGATAGTTGATCCAAGAAGAATGAAGTCCTTGACAACTTCAATCTTTTCTCTGTTGATAAGAATGGTGTTTATTGGTCCAGTGGTGAGGATTTTTGTTTTCCTGACATTGAGATGCAACCCATACTGAAGGCTGTGCTCTTTGATCTTCATCAGTAAATGTTTCAAGTCCTCTTCATTTTCAGCAAGAAAGGTTGTATCATCTGCATATTGCAGGTTGTTAATGTGTCTTCTTCCAATTCTTATGCCACGTTTTTCTTCATCTGTCTGTCGTGCTGTGGTGGCTTGAGTTGCTGTGATTCTGAGGGCTATGCCACCGGTATTTTAAATAACCGGCAGGGTCACCCATGGTGGATAGGTTTCAGATCAGCTTCCAGACAAAGACAGACTAGGAAGAAAGAGTGACAAACTACTTCCGAATCACTGTTGTTGTTGTTGTTGTTATGTGTCGTGGAGTCGGTTCCGACTCATAGTGACCCTGCACAGTGTTTCTGAGGCTGTTAATCTTTACGGGAGCAGAACACCTCATCTTTCTCCCGCGGAGCGGCTGGTAGTTTCGAACTGCTGAAATTACTGATTTTGCGGTTTGCACCCGATTCGTAACCACTACGCTACCAGAGCTCCGAATCACTAGTCACTGAAAACTCTATGAATAGCAGAGAAACAACTCCCTGTATCCTTAGGCACTTTCACACCTTCTATTCTTCCAGTCTTGGGCTTCTGGTGTGGCACTGTAGGATCAGCATTGGACTGTGACCCACAAGGTCAGAAGTTCAAATCCACCAGCTGCTCGTTGGAAACCCTATACAGAGTCACTGTGAGTCAGAATCAACTTGGTGGTCTAAACAACAACAACAACAACATTCCTCTAGCCCTAGTCTCCCTAGTAACAGTGGGTCTCAAAGAGTTCCCTGGCAGATGGAGATAAAGTGTCCACCTTAGTCCATGACTGGGAGCCAGGACCTAAACAGCTTTAATCCCTGTGAATATGTTACCTTCTGTGGTTAGAGTGATTTTGCAAGATGTGAATTAGGACCTTGGAATGGGAGATTATCCTAGATTACCCAGGTGGGTCCAGTGTAGTCACCAAAACCAAACCCAACCCACTTGCCATCGAGTCGCTCCCGACTCATAGCAACCCTACAGGACAAAGTTCAACTGCTCTCTAGCTAGTGTTTCTGAGTCTATAAATCTTTCTGGGAGCAGACTGCTGTATCTTTTTCCAGATGGTAGGTTTGAACCAGAGACCTTTCTATTACCAGCCCAATGCTTAGCCCAAGGTGCCACTAAGGTTCCTTAATGTAATCTCCAGGGGCTTTAAGATGGAAGACGGAGACAGAATGGTAGGGCAGGTGATGTGAAGTCCGCACTCAAGGCTGGAGCGCGGAGGCCAAGAGCCAAGGAAAGAGTCTCTAAAAGCTGGAAGGACAAGGACATAGATTCTTCCCTAAAGCTCCCAGAAGGGAGCATCTTGCTGACACCTTGAATTTAGCCTAGGGAGGCCCATTTCCAACTGTGGACCTGGAGAAATGCATGATAATACATCTGGTTTAAGCCACTGAGTTTGTGGTGATTTCTTACAGCAACCACAGGAAAGGAAGACAGAGCTGAGGTTGGTGGCTCCACAGTCGACCACTGATTTGAGCAGGACTGGGTGCGTGAAATGAAAGAGCAGATAATTACGGGGCACTCTAGGGCCTCCCGGGGCCCACACGATGAGTTAGCATTTCCAGGATGTGCAGGGCCTGCAGAGATCTGATGATGCTCATGAACCAAATTCCACCACCACCACCACCACCACCCCCAATCCCTCTGAGAGTACAAACCAGCCTTTCCTGATGCCAATAGGATGCACTTCAGCCCAAACACTGACTTGTTTCAAGACAGGTGTGTGTGTGTGGAGGGAGGTACAATGCTTTATTGACTTGGCACTGAGGAATGGGTGGCTACAGGCCCCCATTTTGCTACTGCAAAGTGGAGACTTTTTGGTGGGGGCAGCACAAACCAGAGACAATGGATTCAGCTGCAGGAAGAGGCCACTGTCCCTGCTTTGCTGCCACCACTTCCCCTCCCCCGCCCCCCAGCCCAGTCCCTTTGTCCAGCCAAAGCACCATCTGAGCCCAGGCCCCTCACAGAGCTGGGCAAGGTCATGACCCAGGTTCCTTTGCAGCCCCTAGTGGTCTAAGGTAAGAGCAGTGGGTCTCTCTGCCTTTCTATTTTGGGGGTTCCAGGATCCGTGAGAGAGATGGAGATTCCCCTTTTACAGAGAGTTCTTAAGTCTCTTGGGCGTAGTTCAGGAGGAAAGAGTCCCACCAAAGAGTAGAGTTAGGGGTCCCTTCCCTTTCCCCATTTTCCATTTTGGCTTGAGCAGAACCTGGGAGCTTTCATTGAACTGTGCCCATGATGACAGGCTGAGGTCACATAAGTTGATGGGGATAGAGCCAGGCTCCCTCCCTTCCCCCCATAGGAACACACAGTCTGGGCAAGCTCTCTCTCCAGCCCGGGGAGATGGACCCAGTGAACTGCAGGTGTCACAGGAGGAGGGCTTCCTGGAGGTGGAGGCGCAGGCCATAGAGCTCCCAGAAGAGGTGGACCACAGAGCGACTGGGTTAGGACAGCCGGCACAGGACACTGGCATCCTCGCTGTGGTCACAGTTGTGGGCATCCCAGCGGATATGAGAGCAGAGTAGCAGGGCACTCTCATCCCCATGACACTTGACATTGTCCAGGAGGATAGGGCCTCTGCCTGGGCCAAAGTGGGCCTCACCAGGGGCGGCTAGGGCCTGGCCACAGCCCAGCTGGCGACACAGGACACGGGCTGCCCGAAGATCCCAGGCATCATCGCAGACGGTGCCCCACCTCTGCCCTAGGAAGAGCTCAACACGTCCCTCACATCGATGGGCTCCGCTGACCAGGCGGAGATGCCCTGTGGGAGAGAAAGTGCAGACTTGGAAAGGGCTGGCCCAGGCCAGGCCGCTCCCATGCTAGACCACAAAAGGCAAAAGGCACTGCCCTCAGAGCTGCTGGGAGAGGACAGATAAATTCGTCTAATGTAGGACGGCATCAGCCCTGTATCAGATCCCCAGAACTGCAAGAAAAATGGTACAAAGGTTTGCCCGAGTGTTCAGTATGTGTGGGGTGCTTCATGCCTGCTCTGCTGTTAGCCTGGTGCTTGAAATCTCTGCATTGCAAGCCAGGTCAGCTCGTTGGAAACTCTTTGTGTCCCTTGGAAGTCTCCATTGCCCCTACTACTTCATCTCTCCTTCCCCACAGACTGAATTCTCTCATTGATCCCACCTCTAAAAATCCTCTAGATTGCTTTGGCTTAAAAAAGCCCATCTCCTTTTTCTGGACACCATGTTCTGATAATACAGGCTGTTGTTGTTGTTGTTAAGTGCTGTGGAGTCGGTTCCGACTCATAGTGACCCTGCACAGGATTTCTGAGGCTGTAAATCTTTAAGGGAGCAGACCGCCTCATCTTTCTCCCGCGGAACCGCTGGTAGTTTCGAACTGCTGACCTTGCAGCTCATAGCCGGATTCATAACCACTACACTTGCTGAGATGGGCACAAAAGAACAAGAGGGTAGGCCCTGGTGCAAATCTGCTGTTGTTATTATGTGCCATGAAGTCAGTTCAGACTCTATGGGAGGAGAAAGCCTCATCTTTCTCCCACGGAACAAGTGGTAGTTTTGAACTGCTGACCTTGGGGCTCACAGCCGACTCGTAACCACTACGCTACCAGAGCAAGTCGGCTGAAGTCGGCTGAGCCTCCCTTAATTCAAGCCCTTCCTATTCTGATGCCCCACCTCTCTCCTGGGGGCTATAGGCACCTACCGTCCCTGGGCCGAGGCGTGGGCACATGGGTGGTCTCAGAACCATCCTGCTGGACTTGTAGTCCCAGATCCTCTGGGCCTGACACAATAAGGAGAGAGAGAAAAAAGTGGCAGTCACATGGGGGAACATGCTCCTTGGGGCCACATCACCTCCTGCCCTCCCCAGGGAAGCCTGTTCTGGGGCCAGAAAGGATTTCAAGGATTATGTGCTGCTCCCCACCTCTTGGATCAGAAGTGAGAGCCAGCTGGTCGTGGTCACAGATATGAGGTAGGGGTACTGAGTAAGTGTGAAGATTCAATTCCAGTATCACTGAACGGAAGCATTTTACAATGTCGTGCCGCTCCTTTGACTCCTCCCAAAGAACAGAAGCTTCCCGAACTCAGATGCACTTTGCCTACTTGGAGTTTAGCTGGATGAGGAACAGCCCCGCCCCGCCCCTATATACACTCTTTCTCGGATGTTACACCTTTATCTCTCGGGCTTGGCTTCAGGCACCGCCCCGCCCCTCACTGCTGCAAGGCTTGCATCCTCCCCAGGCCCCGCCCCACTCTCGTACTGCAGAGGGAACGCCCTTTTCGGGCCTCCCCATATTGCGCAGCCGCAGAGCGTGCCGAGGTTAGGACTCCGCCTTCCTCTGCGGAGCGGGCGTCCTCACGCGCGGCCCCGCCCGTTCCTAAAACCTTTCCCAGTCCCTCACTTACTGCAGTGAGTGTCTCACCTGCGCAGAGTGCGCCGGCGTCCTCGTGATGGCCGCAGTTGTGCTGGCCCCAGCCCAGGTGGAAGCAGTCGCTCAGGCGGGCCTCAGTGCCAGCGCAGCCCACGTTGTCCAGCAGCACCGGGCCGCGGCCATAGCCGAAGTGGCCAAGACCCGTGGCGCCCAGCGCGGGCCCACAACCCGCCTCGCGGCAGGCCACGCGCGCGTCCGCGAAGTCCCAGTCATCGTCGCACACGGTGCCCCAGCCCCCGGCGTGCAACACCTCCACGCGGCCACGGCACGGGCCCGGGCCGCCCACCAGCCGCAGCCGGCCGCCTGCGGGGCGCACAGGCCCGCGGCCAGAGAGGCGGCTGGCGCCGGTCAAGCCCCTGCCCGACCCTCGTCCCCCTCCGGGGCACCCAGACTCAGCCACTTACTTTTCTTGTCCGCGGCCCAGGCGCTTGTGGTCAACACTGCGGTCTCCCCGGAAGGCTGCGCACCAGCTCCGGTAGCTGCGGAGACCGAGGAGGTCACCTTGTCTAAGAGGCCCAGGGCCTCCTACCCGCACCCCACATTTCACCCTCAAGTCTAGAGTCTACAGTTTGTCTTAATTTGTGCTGGAGTTCTTAGTGGCAGGAACCGAATCCTCATTCCGACATTATCTTAATTTCAGTCCCGATTTTCATTCCAGTTCTAATTCCAAACGCATTTCTCCCTTTTCTCACAAGGCCTCTCCACTTTCAATCTCAGCACCAACCCAAATTTTATTTCAAATTTTTAAAGAATTCGCTGACTACCCACCCCATTTTTTAGAGCTCTGTGAATTTCATCCTTGCTGCATTAGTTCATCTGTTCTTGAGCCACATCTTTCCCCATCCATCCAAAACTTTGGCCTGGTGTGTTAGTTAGGTCCCTCGGCCCCTGGATCTGCATTTCCATTTACCAGAGCAGCCTTCCCAATTCCCTGGCTCACACATCTGGCCCTCAACCACTGTTCTTCCTTACCCAATGGCTCTGTGTGCCAGACCCAGTCCTTGCTTGTGGCCGAGGGTGGCAGTCCTGTGAGTGGAGTGGGGCCCAGTACTAGAGCAGGAGAGAAGGGAAAGGTCATAGGCCAATCTGGTCAACTCACCTTAGCGAAAGTCTGTCACGGGAGGATGAGAAGGTCACTGCATAAGACAACCGATTTTACTACCCTGGGCTAGACCCTTGCCTCAGATGGCCTGCTCAACTTTGAAATTTATGCTCAGTAAAGGGTCAAAAAATATTTTAAAAGTAAATTATAGGCCAGTAACCATATACAGGAGCTCTGGTAGCGTAGAGGTTACGACTCGGGCTTTGAACCGCAAGGTCAGCAGTTCAAAACTACCAGCTGTTCTGCGGAAGAAAGATGAGGCATTCTGCTCCCATAAAGATTTACAGCCTCGGAAACCCTGTGCAGGGTCGCTATGAGTCGGAACCGACTCCACGGCACACAGACAGACAGCCACAATCCTGTTTAAGGAATCCCGGTGGCACAGTAGGTTACGAGTTGGGCTGCTAACTGAAAGGTCAGCTATTTGAATCCACCGGTTTTTCCTCTAGAGAAAGATATGCTTTCTGCTCCTATGAAGTTTTACAGCCTCGGAAACCTTATACAGGATGACTGTGCGTGTAGATTGACTCAAAGGCATTTAACAACAATCCTAATTTGGGGAGATACCTGCCCTACAATTTAGGGACTTCTAATTGGCAAAGTGTGGTGCTGTGAGCTAATGCCTCAGACTGCAAAGTCATTTGAACTGCAAGGTTGGTGGTTCAAACTCACCAGCCGCTCCTTGGAAACAGGATCACTATGGGTCGGAATGGATTTGTCGAAGGCACTTAACAACAACAACAACAACAACAACAACTGGCAAAGGAGCTCTGGTAGCGTGGTGGTTAAGAATCAGGCTGCTAAACTCAAGGTCGTCAGTTCGAAACTACCAACTGTTCCACGGGAGAAAATGAGGCTTTCTGCTTCAGTAAAGATTTACAGCTTCGGAAACCCTGTGCAGGGTCATTATGAATCAAAACCGACTCCACGGTGCTTAACAACAACAACAACAATTGGCAAAGTGTCAGCTTCAATGGGCTTAAGCGTGGCAACAATTGTGAGGTTGGCCCAGGACCAGGCAGTGTTTCGTTCTGTTGTGCATATGAGTTGGTACCAGCTCGATGGCACTTAACAACAACAACAAGAAGGAACCTTAGGGGTCCTGGGGTAGCACTGTGGGTTAATGCACCAGACTGTAAAGCCGTTTGAACTGCAAGGTTGGGGGTTCAAGCTCACCAGCTGCTCCTCGGAAACCCTATATAGGGTCTTTATGGGTCAGAACCGACTTGACAGCACTTCACAACAACAAGGAACCCTAATGGCACGGTGGTTAAGAGCTCAGTTCTAAACCGAGAAGTCTTACGTAGTTGTTAAGTGCTGTCGAGTTGGTTCCGACTCATAGCGAATTCGAACCGCCAACCTTGCGACTCACGCTGACTTTGTGAGATGCTTTAGCGCAGCTAGAAGCCCCACTTCCGCACCCAGACTTCACTCCGCCTCCTACCGCCGCAGCCCCCGCCCCACCCCGCCTGCCGGCTCCGCCCCGCCCTTCCGGCCCCGCCCCTGGATCCCGCACCTGCGCAGAGCACGCCTGCGTCCTCGTGGTGCCCGCAATTGTGCACGCCCCAGCCAAGGCTCAAGCAGGTTGCTAGGCGCGACTCGCCTCCTTCGCAATGCACGTTGTCCAGCATGATGTGACCAGTGCCGTAGCCGAAGAAGGCGTTGGTGGTGGCGCCCAGGGCCTCCCCGCAGCCCAACTGGCGGCAGACCACTGCGGCGTCCGGCAGCCCCCAGTCGTCGTCACACACAGTGCCCCAGAGGCCGCTGTGCAGGATCTCCACTCGGCCCTGGCATGGGTCCGCGCCCCCCACCAGGCGCACGCTGCCCTCACCTGGTGACGGGGGTTATCTCCCACTGGGCTTCGTCTCCCGTCCCTCTCAAACGTGCGCCTAACCAACCACTCACCCAGGACGCTCCCTCCACATACCCACAGTTCTCAGTGCCCCAGGACCTAAAACCCAGGGGACAGTCCAGGTTGGGGGTGGCCTGTGGGATCCCAGGACAGATTAATTTATTGCATCCCTTCTAAAAGGAACTCTCCATGTCCTTGTCTAGGATAAACTGCTTCCTCATCAGTCTTTTCACTGCTCACTGTTCAACTCAACAGCTCTTTCTCCCTGAAGCTCTCCCTGATCTAATGGCTGGGCCCTTCTTTCTTCTCCAGCCTTCCTTGCCTGGTAATCAGTCCCTCTTTGGGAGTACTTTTCCTTTTCTACAGCATTATCATTTAGGGGCATATCTGACTATCCCATTATTTTGGACTCTGCTCATTCCCAACACCCACCTCTCTTTTTCATTAACCTTGTGCTTACTTTATTTTTATTTACCTCCCACAGGATAACTGTACCCCAATTTCTCTATCCAGACTGTGATACAACTATAGGGGGTCAGAGTGGGATGGGAGAATGACCACGCTCACCCATTTTAATTTGTCTCTTCCCACTGCCCTGTATCTGCCTCCAAAGACCCAGGCAAGTAAGTCACTCTTACCTTTTCCATTTTGAGAGGTGGTGGGAAGAGCCCTACTCGTTAACAGCTTCCTTGTTGGGGCTTGTGTGGGCAAGAACTCTGGTAAGGAAGCCGGATGGGTAGGAGAAAGATTCATGGATCACTCTGGTCTCCAGTCTCATTACCCATAGGGTGTGTGAGGAGCAAGGCCATGGACCCCTATGACTCTGGCTACATACAGCAACTCTGGGGCGGAAGAGGAGGGACTCCCTGAGTCCTGACTGTTTCTAATGCCTTAGGTTCTTAAAGCAGCATCAGCACCACTGGGAAAATGTCGCTTCCCAGACCCCACTCCAGACTTAAACAAAATAAAAATCTCTGCTGAAGGGGCCTCAGTCTGTGTTTTAACAAGCCCTCCAGGTGACTCTCCGGAAACCTGGAATCTCTGCTCTGGAGATCAAAGCTTCTCAGAGTTTGCCCTGCAGCTCAATATGCCAAGTGGAGCTTAAGATCAGGGGCCTCCAATGACCCTCGTTTAAAAATAGGCAAAAGGCTCTGTGGGGATCATGAAGGCTAGGTTTGGAGGCAGCCATATTGCTTTTCTTTCAACCTAAAGTCACAAACGAACACCCAGAGCAGGGCTCTTCCGTAGCAGTGTGCAGCCCTTGGTCTGCTCTTCTGCCTGAAACAGCCTTACCACGGGCAAGTCCCTCCATCTGTCTAATCTGCAGCCCTGCTGCATCCCCCAGTCTGTCCACCCTCCTGGGACTCAGCCCTCTGCTCACCATTGCACAGGACAGCCACATCCTCGTAGTGAAAGCAGTTGTGGACGCCCCAGCCCCGGCTGCCACACTCACTCAGAGCAGCTTCCTGCCCACGGCACTCCACGTTGTCCAGTAAGATGGGTCCCCGGCCCTGACCAAAGGTTAGGGGCCGGGGCACAGGCAGCGCCAGGCCACAGCCCAGCTGGCGACACACTACATTGGCATCCACCACGTCCCAGTCATCATCACAGACGCTGCCCCAGGAGCCACCATGCAGGACCTCCAGGCGCCCCCGGCAGCGGCTCGGGCCCCCCACCAGCCTCAGCTCTGTGGAGAGGGTTGAGTTGGCAGTAAGGGGCTCACTGGACTCAACCTAGGGAATGCCCACCTTGCCCTGAAGCTCTGGGGAGACTTCTCCTTTGTGTGAGAGGGGAAGGCCAGAGCAACCCCTTTGAAGTGGAGGCATCTAGAGGTCAGTCCCTCCCTGATGTCTTGAGGGTCTGAGTGTCTAGGAGTGGAGGGATCAGGGGCACTTACCTGGAAAGGGCAGTGGAGTGGGCTGTAGGGCACTGGCTGCAACAGAGTGAGGAAGACCATTGGCCCCTAAGAGAAGAGCCTGCCGACCCCAGGAACACAGGTCCCCACCATGGTCCTCACTATCATCCCCACTCTTTGATTCTACTACCTTTCCTTTTCTAAAGTCCCTGCCTGACCCCATCAGCCCCTGCACTGGTCCACCTGTAACCCCAGGAAGATCTGCTCAAACAGATTTGCTTGTCTCACTCCAGTGCTCAATCCCTAAAACTGCTGGTGCCTCCGGGAGAAAACCCAGGCCTGCAGTCTTTTCCATGTGTCTTCTCCACCACGTGTCTTCTCCACCACGTGTCTTCTCCACCACGTGTCTTCTCCACCACGTGTCTTCTCCACCACATGTCTTCTCCACCACGTGCCTTCTCCACCACGTGTCTTCTCCACCACGTGCCTTCCCCACGTGCCTTCTCATCAGCCTTCCCTTACCTCTGGGTCTCTCATGGTCTTATCTCCAGGCTATGAACCTAATTCTGATACTGCTCTCTGGCTAACCTGGTTATTCCAGCTCTACTGACCCTTCCAGCCTCCTGCTCTCTACTTGGGGAGGATTGACTGGAAACTCTGTATGTGCTCCTTGTAGGATCTGTTTCAGGGCCTCTGCTTGGTGACGTGGCTGTGCCTTTTTCACTCGTGTCCTGTAGGGTACTCTGGTCAGAGCCAGGTACTCAACATATGCTCACTTGTTGTTGTTGTTGTTGTTGTGAAGTGCCATCGAGTCGGTCCCGATTCACAGCGACCCTGTATAGGGTTTCTGAGGAGTGACTGGTGGGTTTGAACTGCTGACCTGTGGTTAGAAGACCAGTGCATATCCTACTGCGCCACACCAGGACTTCAGATGCTCAGTAGCTCCTCTTTAAATGTGTAGATTGGCTTTGTGATTAATTCATTCATGATTTGACTGCATGAATCTTTCATTTGTGATTTTATACATGAGAGCAAGTCAGAAAGTATTGCTCCAAAATTATAGAAGCCTTTATTAAACTAAAATAGCATGATATCCTTCTCCAGTGACTGGTCTCTCCTGACAATATGTCCGAAGTAAGAGGGACAAAGTTTGGCCATCCTGGCCTCCAAGGAGCACTCTGGCTGCACTTTTTCCAACACAGATCTGTTGGTTCTTTTGGCAGCCCATGGCACTTTCAACATTCTCCTCCAACAGGGATGAGTTAATTAAATGTTAATTAAAAATTAGCAGGCTTATTTTTAAGTTGATCATTTTGTATGGCCTATGAATTATAAATGATAAATTTTGGCAGAAAAAAGGTTCCCTACCCTTGCTATATAAGGAGCTCTGGTAGTGGAGTGGTTACGAATCTGGTTGCTAATCTCACGGTCAGCAGTTTGAAACTACCAGCTGTTCCATGGGAGAAAGATGAGGCTTTCTGCTCCCGTAAAGATTTACAGCCTCAGAAACGCTATCCTGGGTTGCTATAAGTCGGAACCGACTCCACGGCACATAACAACAACAACCCTTGCTGTATAGGGTTTCCAAGGAGCAGCTAGTGAATTTGAACTGCCAACCTCGTAGTTCCCAGTCGAGTGCTGATCCACACCAGGAGCGCCACACCAGGAGTCTGAGGCGTATATTAATGTACCCATTTTACAGGTGAAGAAACTGAGACTCCATTTCTTCTTTCTTAAGGTCAAATAGTCTAGGTCATTTGATTCCAACTCTTCTACCAGCTGCCCCTCAAACCATCCCTCTTTCCCTATTTCCATTGGCCCCCAGAATCTGTGTGCATTTAGCCCTTCCAGCACTGAGCCCCTCAAACTCAGTCCCTCAGCTTGCATCGATTTGTTGGAAATGTCAGAGCTGGAAAGAAAACCAAGCTCAACCACAATCTACCTCCCACCATCATATTACAGCAGGGAAAACTGAGCCAGAAAGTGTGAGAATCACAGGTTGGGAGTTAGAGCACTCACCCAGTGGCAGGAGGAGGAAGAAGGACAGGGCTGGGGAAAAGGGGGAAGGGGAAGCACCCCCATCTCCTGGCCTCCATCCCCTGTTCTTTTCCACCAGCTGGGGACCAATTCTCATCTCTGTTTCCTGGTGTGCGCAGCCAGTAGATGGTCTTTCAGATGGTAGCGTCAAGGGGCCGTGAAGAAGACACAGATGCAACATCTGGAATTAAAAATTCCCAAGGTGTTACTTGCAGTTGGGGGTGGAGGGTAACAAAAGTTTCAGGGGAAAGTAATATTTCCACTGAGTTTGGCAACAACATGGGCAGCTTGGGGGTGAGAAAGATGGAGCAGGAAATGGTAACTAATAAAAAGTTAAGTTTGACGGAAGCAGCAACCAGAAACAAGGTCCTGTGAAGTCAATTCCAACTCACAACCCATGTGTGTCAAAGTAGGAATGCGCTCAGAGAATTTTCTTTTAGGCAGTTTTTACATGTACAGCTTAATGACATTGACTACATTTTTTGAGTTGTACAATCATTCTCAGACTCCCTCTCAGAGTTGTTCCTCCCTCATTAACATAAACCCATTGCTTCCTAAGGTTCCCATTGAATCTTTCTAGTTTCTGTTGTCAATTTGTTCCCATATGTTGTTGTTGTGAAATGCCGTAAAGTCGATTCCGACCCATAGCGACCCTGTTTAGGGTTTCCAAGGGGCAGCTGGTGAGCTTGAACTGCCGACCTTTCAGTTCAAACGGCTTTGCAGTCTGGCGCATTAACCCACAGCATCACACCAGGAGTCCTTGCTCCCATATAGATGCTCTTAGAAAAGCAGAATGCTCAAGGCAGACATTTTGTCTGGCAGACATAAGCTAAACTATTTTTCAGTTTTAAGAAGACTTCAGAGGATGTTTTTGGTTTAAGGTTTACAGATTATCTCAGGGCAATAGTGTCAGGGGTTCTCCATGGCACCAGAAAGAATTTTAAATTCTGTTCTGTATTTGCCCCCTTTTGATTAGGATTTGTCTGTGGAATCTTTGGTCAAAATGTCAGTAATGGGAGCCAGGCACCATTCAGTTCTGGTCTCATGGCAAAGGAGGAAGCTGTTCATGAAGGCAGTTAACCACATATTCCATCTCCTTCTCCTATTCCTGGTTCTCCTCCTTTCTCTGTTGCTCCAGGTAAAGAGCCCAATTGTTATACATTGGATGGGCACTTACAAACTTTTAAGACTGCGGGCACCAGACAAGGAACTGTGAGGTAGAATAGAAACACTTTACACATTATTAGATGAATTAACAAATTTCATGTCCCATGAAACCTTGATTCTATACCTCCAAACCAAGGACACAAATGCCATGAGGTGTTTTTTGATTGTACAAAAGCAGTCTCAGGGTGTCCTGGTGTGGCGCTGTAGAATAAACACTGGACTGATAGCCACAGGTCAGTGGGTAAAACCCACCAGGTGTTCCCCAGAAGCCCTATACAGGGTTGCTGTTACAGGGTCATTATACAGGGTCCCTATAGAGGGCCCCTAAGACGGTCACTATACAGGTCCCTATATGGGGTCCCTCTACAGGGTCCCTCTGTGGAGTCCCTCTGTGGGGTCACTGTACAGGGTTACTATAGATGGTCCCTATAGAGGGTAACTATATGGGGCCACTATACAAGGAACCTATAGAGGGTCACTATACATGTTCCCTATAGATAGCCAACATACAGGGTCCATACAGAGGGTCACTATATGGGGTCACTGTGTGGAGTCACTATACAGGGTCACTGTATGGGGTGCCCATAGAAGGTCCCTATAGAGGGTCCCTATACAGGGTCACTCTGAGTCAGAACCAACTGGATAGCACCCCAAAACAAGCAGCCTCAGCATCTACTTTTTCTTTTTTTAATCATTATTATAAATATATCTATCACACAGCTTTTGCTAATTCAACTTTTTACAAGTGTACAAATTCTTCACAGCAATTGTGCAGCCCTACCCTTAACCAATATGATTTTTCCATCACTATTAACTCCCTCCTCCTCTCCCCTCCATCCTACTCCTGGTAACCACTAATAAACTTTGGTCTTTACACATTTGCCTTTTCTTTTCCCTTTATATATGAGGCCATATAATATTTGTCCTTTTGTGATTGGCTTATTGCACCTAACATAATGTCTTCAAATGCCATCCACACGCTCAGCATTTTCAATGGCTGACTTTTCAGAAGTAGATTACCAGATCTTTCTTTTGAGGTGCTTCGGGGAGGATGTGAACCTCAAACCTTTGGTTAGCAGCTGAATGTATTACTATCACCCAGAGACTCTTGACTGTAGTAGTAAAGGGTGTGTGTTAGCAAGAAGTGGAGACGAGATTGGGAAGGTTGCCTAAGCCTAAATTTTCACAAGCCTGTGCATCCCAAAGTTTGGTGACCCAAATAATGGTAGGGGAAAACATAGTTCTTTCCCTTTTATCTCATCCCACTGCTAAATTCCTTACTATAGGTGCACTCCTGGTGTGGTACCGTAGGATAAACATTGGACTGGTAACCACAGGTTCGTGGTTCAGACCCACCAGTTGCTCCTTAGAAAGCTGATACAGGGTCACTATGAGTCAGGACTGACTTGATGGCATTTAATAACAACAACCCATGGGTACAGACCCCTGAGGGGAAAGTCCCAGGCCAGACAGAGCCCTCTCTACCAAATCCTTGAGTATCTTCTGCTCAGCCTCACCTAACTTCTTCATCTCTCATCTGGTGGTACCTCAAATTATTTTAGGGGAATATAAACATCATGTTGTTCTTGTTAAGTGCTGTCGAGTCGGTTCTGCCTCATAACGATACTGTATAGTATTTCCAAAGTTTTAAATCTTAGCGGGAGCAGAAAGCTTCACTTTTTTCCCATGGAGCAGCTAGGTGGACTCGAACCATGGACTTTGTGGTTCACAGTCCAGTGCTTATCATATGGAGACACCACACACCCCATAAAAATCATAGTTATTATTTTATTTCCATTAACTTTTAAATTATTATTGTTGTTAAGTGTCGTCAAGACTTTTAAATGTTGTTGTTAAGTACTGTGGAGTCCGTTTCAACTCATAACGATCCTGCACAGGGTTTCCGAGGCTGTAAATCTTTATGGGAGCAGAAAGCCTCGTCTTTCTCTGGCGGAATGAATAGTAGTTTTGAACTGCTGACCTTGAGGTTAGCAGCCCGATTCGTAACCACTACACTACCAGAGCTCTTTCTATTTTGTTCTGTTGTCATGGGTTGAAGCCGATTCAATGGCAATAACAACAGTTTGTACAAAGGATTCTAGTTTTCCATTTACTGGGACATATAAAGTTTCCCTTTAAAGTTAATAGAAATGGGTCTATTAAATATATATGGAGAGGGTGGAAATGTAGTGAGGAGCTCCGTCAGCAACAACACAGAATACTAGGGATGGTCCCAGAACTCTGAACCACATATAAAGGAATATTTAGAAAGTTGGAAGGCTTACAGCCAGAGGAATTTATAGCAGAAACAAGAAATCCTGTGCTTTATAATCCAAGGCGCTTAGCTGCTCCCTGAGCCTCCATCTTGGGTGAGACCAAGTGGGGAAAGGATCAGAGCAGCCACAGAACTGCGGAGATAAAGATGTGGGCATTCCTTTTTTGTATCTGTTTACTGGCCTCTCACTGTCTGCACACCTCCATTCTGTTGACTAAAGGGGGTGTCTGAGCAAGTGGACACCCCACTCCCACCCTCAGAGGGTTCTATAAAGCATGCACACATATCTCCTCAAAATTTAAAGGGATAGTTTCCACTTAAAAACCAAACGGCAGTGAAAAACGGCCATAGCCAGCCCTGAACTATTTATCACTAGGAAAAAGGCCTAACAGAGGTTGTGGAGCAGGACAGGCAGACTCAAAAGGAAATGGGCCAAAAGTTAAATCCTGAGTTACGTCACAATGACCAACAGTGGCATCTTGAAATTTCTCAGGAAAAAGAATGAAAAGGAAAGCCCATCTCCTGATCACACCTACTTGGAGACAATCAGAAAGCATAAAAAATACCAAAACACACACCCATCTAAGTATTAAGGCCATAGCTAACCACTGAATATGCCCAAAAAACAGAAACAGATAACCATATCAGCACATGTCCAGAAACAAGATAAAGTGACTGAGACAAATGAGTTGGAGGTAGACCTACACTCCATACTGGAAGAAGGACAGGCTTTGGAAATGCCTGAGAAGCAATTCAGAAAAATGATTACAAAATGTATCAAAACACTTTACAATGGCGTTGAGACAAATAAGGAAGAAGTCAGGAAAGTGCTACAGGAACAATCAAATAAGATAGATACAGCATTGGAAACGATTCAAAACCTGCAGAAAGAGGTTCAAATGATTAATAATAGAATATCAGAAATGAACAATATACTGAAAGGGCAAAGGAGTAGAATTGAAGAGATAGAAGCCAGAACTAGTGAGCTGGAACATAAATCTCTCAATACCACTAAGATAGAAGAGCAAGCAGAAAAAAGGATTAAAAATCTGAAGAAGGCCTAAATTCATGTTGGACAACATGAAGAAGAATAACTTAAGAATGATCAACATTCCGGAATAGAAAGACTCACACAAGTCCACAGAAGAGATAATTGAAGAACTTCTGGAAGAAAATTTCCCTAACATCCTTAAAAGTGAAAAGGTAAGCATCCAAGAAGCTCAATGAACTCCAGGAAGGATAGACCCTAAAAGAAAATCACCAAGACATAAAATAATCAACTTCTCCAAAATCAACAATAAGGACAGAATCCTGAATGCAGCCAGGGAAAAGAGAAGTGTAACATACAAAGGCAAGCAAATTAGATTAAGCTCAAACAGAAACCATGCAGGCAAGAAGGCAATGGGGCGACATATATAAAACCCTGAAAGAAAAAACTGCTGACCAAGAATCCTCTACCCAGCAAAGCTGTCAATCTAATACGATGGCGTAATCAAAACATTCCAGAATAAACAGAAGCTAAGGGATTTTTCCAAAGCCAACCCTGTGATGAAAAACATCCTAAAGGGAGTTCTGTGGACAGAGAACCAACAAGAACAGACAACAATCAGAGATTGACGTATGTGGCAGCATCACATGGAAATCAATCAACAAATGGAAGAGTCGAGAACAGAATAAAACTATAAGAACAAACTCAGAGGATTTGTGAAGTCCATCTATGATCAAAACAATTATAATGT